TTCGACCTGCCGAACTATTTTAGTTTGTAAACTATCGCTTAGATTGTGAACTTTGATGGTTTTTGAACTTTGATGGTTTGACACTTTTGACAGCTTTTGTCTTGTACAGCCAATCAGATTATTTGAAGCATTCTAACAGGGATTCTGATTGGCTTATTGTAGCGTGCTCTATGAGAGTATAGAGCATGCTGACGACACTGTTGTTCGCTTTAAAAATTGAAAGTAATGCATGGGGAATTTAACGGATTCTTTATTATAAAACAAATAGAGAAGCCTTGACTGTGCTCTTTGCTGTGCTCTTTGCTGTGCTCTCTATAGGGAGAAACACGAGACGTAGTCGAGTGTTTCTCCCTACACTTCTTTCGTGCTCTAGCCGCTTCCTGTGTGCTTTTTAACAGAACAGAGCACAGTCAAGGCTTCTCTATTTGTTAATTTTCACATAGGCAAAAATCCAAAAATGAAGGTAGTATTAATTTTTCTCTATGTTCCCGTATTCTCCTCAGTGGGCTGGTTAAGTTACGCGGAACATATGATTTTTCTTTTTTTTTTTCTTTTTTCCTTTTTTTTTTATTATTTGTTTACAAAACAGCACGGTAAAGGTAAAGTTATAAGGAGAAAAAACCATAGAAACCGTTTCTTCAATTCCTGTTCTTAAGAAGACCGTAGAAAATGAAATAGAGGCAATGCATAATTCAAGGTACGAATAAAATTTATTGAATGTTTTACCACCTTGATGTTCTACAAGTCTACTGCTTAATGTTCCCACATGATTTTGTGAGCCTCAATGCTGTTATGTTTCCTTGATGGCTAAAATGTTCCAAGGATTTTTTTTCAATCATAAAACGACGAATGGAATTTTTTTTTTGAGTGGCCTTGAGGAACTGATTATTTCATGAATACTTGAGGGAAAAGCAGCCAGATCATAATTTACCCTTTATCAAGAGTAAAAAGCAAGGTTCAGGATGAAAATTTTAACAACATACACGATGCTTCGCAAAGTAAATCTTGCAAGCTTCACAACAATATTCTGCATTTTCTTCATTTTTAATTCCATACTCTACATATGCACGTACTTACTTCGTTTCAAGGCGCCAATGAAATACATTTAACGAAAGATGAATCGTACTTGTTGGAAAATAAGTCCACCTGAACTTTATTCGAACAGTTTGGTCTCTACATAATTGCAAAAAAAGCACGATTTTAAACAATAGAGACTTGAGAACTAGAAATGTGGATCACACAATTTTTCAACGTTTTATTTCTCTAATTAAATTGAAGTGTGAGTTTCTGTGCTGTTTTGCAGATGTATATTACACCTAATGAGAACTGAAACAATTTTAAGTGTCATTTGAAAATTCGAGAAACTTCCATCGAAGAATTAGGCAAGCTGGAAAAATATTAGAGATAATTTATTAATAAAGGCATTTGGTGTCGTATAGAAAGACATAAACGGCTTCTGTTATCTGCCTTGTCTGCCATCTTGAACAAAACATTTACTATGTTAAATAATGGGGAAAAATGTATTGTTTATTCTGGTAAAAATGCGCCTACACTATGTTTAAAATCGCACAGAGTGCGTGAAGCCGACTAAATGTTTCATCGTGCACAAATTATCGGGATGATTTTATCATACGGACGGAAAACGTTGTGCTTTTTGTCTAACTTGTGGTGACGAAACCCTGGGAAGAAAAGCGAACGATTTTACAAGAATAGGAACTTTTGAAATAATATCGAGCCATTATTACGAGTTGATTTAAACTTGCTTGAGACAAGACAGAAGACAATTCAATAAACTACGAGTAATATTAAAAGAACGCAAGCACATTTCAAGAAACCGTGTAAGACGAAAAAAAAATTGTCATATTTGCTGCGCTAGTAATTTATTTGAACTACGTTGTCGACGACTCATTAAAAACTGTCAAGCAATAATTTAGCAGTAAAGTTTAAGTATTTTGCATATCAGTGTAAATTTACATCGCATTTTGTTTATTCTGTTTGTCCTCACGGTCAACTTGAATTTGTATTGTAGCTCTGAAGCCCGTGAGGTTCGAGCAAATCGTTTGTATTGCGTGTACTTGACGTCCACGAATTATGGCATTGTGGCTTTCGCGCAAGATGGAGCCGTGTAAACTTTGATAGATAAATTCGAACACGAATCGTCAGTATTTGCTCGAAGACTTTCTCGAGGCCAGAGCGAGTTTTCAAACCATAAATTACGCGAAAGGTTGATGAAAGTCTCTTCTTAATTAGAGAACTATCAAAACCACAAACAAGTGCAAAATTTCTTAAGGCAAAAAGGAATAAAAATTCTTTTACACATTTTTTCAGCCCCTACTTATTTTGAGGAAGTTACTTACACTGTAAGTGGGACCCTTTTGATTGATGCAAACATAAGAGTGTTATTGTATGTTTAGAGCTTTGTTTATAGCTTATGCAATGGAAGGCTTGACGTTTCTTGAGGCTGGCAATATTTCCTTGTCAAAGACATTCTTTTCTTATTACTTTTTCATTAGCGATCCTTTATTAACACACGGTGGAGTTTCCTTAGATAAACACTGACTTATTTGAGAACTTGAAAGAAATCTTCTTAAACAAAGTTTAAAGGCTACTTTAGACCGAATATGATGTTTCATAATGATAATTTGTCAACGCTACCAGCTGAAAATTACGCTTATTGCAAAATTTGAGATTGTGGTGACAATTGCCTAGTTTTACCTAAAACAAATATTTAATCTTTGCCATGGTTCAGTGACAAAGTAGAGGAAACAAGGAAGTTCTCCACTAAAATTAATAATCGTTTTGCCTGAAACCAGGTGTTTCTATGGTAACCATAGCTACCGCATTGTTATAAAGGAAAGCAATTTTACCTCAAAAGCAGTGAGGGACCAAAGAGCTTTGCATCTTTAGAGGTAAGAGTTGATTAAATCGAAAATTTAAGTTTTTCGCCGTCAATTAGACCGTCTCAAGAAATTAATCGAACAATGTTGTTCTGGGGACTAATTTCACTGTCTAATATGTATGTTAAAATGTAAAGATATTCCTAAGAGACCCAATTCTCTCCATCGAGCGAAGCGGATAACATTCATTTGCGTCATTTGCATTAATTTCCACATAGAACTGACAGCTACAAGCTTTTTTTTTTTAATTTATTTTCATAATCCGGTTTCGTTCATAAAAACAGGTCGATTTTGAAACCTTAATCCACTGCTGGGAGCTGGTGATCAACTTAAAACTTGTGCCATACGCGCGTGGTAGAAACAGAAAACCGTTACTTTGAAGAAGGCATGGAATTTGTTTCATTTTTCATGTTCGTAGCCTGGAATGCATTATTGACTAACTTGACTTTTGGAAAAGGTGAGTCGCAGACGGCGAATCATTCTTTATCCTTCGATTCACTTATGAGCACAACCTTATTTATATATCTCCTTTATTTTCTTTTGCTGATACAAAAACATTTTACGACAATTAGCATAGACTACTGTAAGTCAAAAACCAAAAAAAATAATTTTTGAAAAATTACAGGGTGTTTAACAAAAATGTTTTATCGGCTTTTATTCAGAAAATTGGATATTGGATGCAAAACGAACAAAAACTTCGGCAAACACAAATTACTTGTAGATAGTAATAAGAGAGATGGTAAGTTTTGAGCTCGGCAAAGAAATAGAGAATGATATTTTTTTCGTTTTTTCACGAGCGTGGGACAAAGAAAAAATTCTTTCTTTGTCCCACGCTTGTGACAAGATTTCTTTATTGAGCTCAAAACTTATCATCTCTCTTAGTACTATTTAAAAACATTATGCTATCGATATTGCTGATCCTGGCAGTATGCAGGAAGCGTGTGATATGAACTTCGTAACAGACTCGCTCACCGTGGAGTCTCTGTGGCTCAGTGGTAGAGCATCGGAGCGCGGAATCCGAAGGTCTGAGGTTCGATTCCTCATGCGGACTCAGAATTTTCTCTCTGTCCCACGCTCGTGACAAGATGAAAAAACATCATTCTCTACAAATTACTTCATTTAAAATTGTTACGTTCCCATCTCTCCTCTCTCAATAATATTTAAGCATGACACTATGTTATGTTCAATTTCCCTGTGTTGTATAAGGCGGGAATTTGATCCTTCTGCATCGTGCGAAAGCACATTTTAACCGCTCTTAACCATCTCAGAGAAGTTATTTTTACAAGAGAGCAGTGCTGACAAATGATAATGGATAGTTACATTTTTCTTATTGTATATTCGTTCATAATCATAGCTCATCGATCAAAAGCTAAAATCGTGTATTGTGCAAGTCTCAGAGAAAGTTATTGGCACAAACTTGTTTAAGGATTAGTTTAAAGGCACTCACCTCAAAAACAGGTGGCACGACTACCGTTAAATTGTCGGTATTTTCGATATTTTTTGTTTTAGAAATATAGTGTTTGGCTTTTTTATTTGAATTTAATTTAAGTCGAATTTCCCAATGCATGTAAACTCGAGTAAGAAACTCTGAATTTTCGAGGACCTGTATTATGAAGAAAGCGAGAAAAGTTTAATAAATAAAAATGATTTTTGTCATGACTTATCGATCATGAAGCAGAAAAGAAACTTGAGAAAAATTTGCGGATAGCTTTTATTAGCGGCTTTCTCTATCCCCTAAAATAATATCGTTCAGGTGAACGAAAAGACACGAAAATGCTTCCTAAACATCCTGTCCTCACAAGTGATGGTCGCTGCTGCCAATTTTTGTTTTTAAACGCTATTGGGAGGGAGGAGGGGTGCTGGAGTTAAATATCTTGTGAAAAACTTCGTCCTAAATACTAATGTTCTTAGAAAGACACAAATCCCCAAATGAAGGTAGTATTAATTTTTCTCCATTTTCCCGTATTCGCAGTTTGATTGGATCATAGTTCTTTTTTTTCACCAAGCGTGTTATTTTGTAAGCTTAAAACCTCGAATCGTAAGTTAATTTATGTCCGATAAGAAAATTTGTTCACTAACCATATTTTGATTGCTATATTTCAGAGCGAGATCGCACAATGCTGTTTCCAGATTCCTTCTTCTTTGCTGAAAGACGTTTGCTAAACCATAAAATCGAAACTAAATATGTCAAAGACTTGGATCACTGTGAGCTTTTCTGCTACATGAACGACAACTGCGTTAGTGCTAACTTCAAAAAAGATCCCGAGGATGGAGGAATCGATTATATCTGTGAACTGAATAACGCCACTCATCTTGAATATGATACTGACCTGATAACTAATGCCGATTTTTATTATCGTGGCTCAAAGGTAAAATATACTCGACGCTTTTCGATGAATCGTGAAAAACAACCGACGTGTACCAAAACTTCCGTTCTTTCATTCATCTATCAATCAATCAATACATCCATCTTTCTTCTTTAAATTTTGTTTCTTTCAGAACGCCTGCGGTAAAAATCTACTTTGTCAAAATAATGCAACTTGTCAGTCCGGTTTCACAATCAAAGGATATCGATGCTCATGCCCTCTTGGATTCGAAGGAGAACACTGCGAAAAAGGTTAATTGCAGAATGTGCTGATAAGAACAAAATATTTCATAGGGTATTTAAACCACCCATATTTATATATCACGTTTGGCCGTCGAGTGCGCATCTCAAAGGAAGGCTACCGAGGCTGATCTTTGACGACTGATATCCGGCTACAGTTTGGAATAGTGTCTAGAGAGAGATTCCGCTGCAGTGGAAGTTTTGGTTTAGTTCAAATTAACAATTCATTTGTCACAATGATAGCTAACTTAATGCTTTTTCATCTTATAAAAGTTAAAAATGAATGTGTTATCCGACTCGTGGAACCACTTCCGTTGTAGAATTTTTCTTTTCTTTCCCATTTTTTTAGATATTGATGAATGCCAAAAAAATACTCACGATTGTCACCTGAACGCTACTTGTCAAAACACAAATGGATCCTTTGTGTGCACCTGTTTATTTGGATTTAACGGAGATGGACGGAGCTGCACAGGTAATTGCCTCGCTATGACTTTGAGAAATGTTAGTTTGCTTTCGTCTGTTTGTTTGTTTGTTTAATTTGTACGTTCCTTCTTAGTCGGCTGATTTGTTTGTTTTGATAAAGTAGTTACCCTTGCCTTAATATTTTTGACCAATGGTACAAAATGAAAATCCTTGATCCCACTTGAAAGCAAGGACAAAATGCTGAACATTTTCGTTGATCAGCTTCAGATCTATAGTAAATAGCGATCAACAACTCTCTAACGACAACTATCGCACTCAATGTTCAAAATATAGATTTCATTTTTGATTTTTTTTGTATCATATTTGTAGACTTGATGTGCATCGTTTTTGTCCTCCAGGAGAGAAAACAATCATCCCATTATTTTTTCTTGATGATGTATAATTGTTCTTATAAATAGAATCATTATGAGGCTGTGTCTCGAAAGGATTGAAAGTAATCAAACAGAATAATTTGATTGGTTAAAATCGATGTTGACCGCGGTTAAGATTTTCCCATTCGGACCTATTAAGGTGATTCCTCAGAAAAAAAAAAGTTATCCGACAATTTTTTCAGTCTTTCCTTAAATGTTCCTTGCCAATGTCTGTTTCGAAAAATATAACCAAAAAGATAGGTCACCTTGCTTGTTTGAGAGAAATGACGGGCCAAACTTACCCCACTTCTGCCTCTACGACCTCTACTAGTGCATTTTCACGCGCCTCATTTCACGGCACATTTTTCGATAGCTGGAAGCAATAGTTTTTAAAGTAAAAATTTTAAAAAAATTGACAGGTACAAAGTCTCAAGCGTAGGGAAGAATTTGATATATAATTTGTAAAAAAAAGCACGTAATTTTAAGACGTCGACTCGAAACGTTCCTCGACTCGTTGTTTTCCAGGTCATAATTTTCATCATCAAATAACGGGCTTTGTGCACGCTTTTAGCTATATCTTTTTTTGCCTTCGATGATTTTTTTCATTCATCCAATATAAAGAGGAATAAAATTTGTACACCAAAATTATTCAATGAAAAATATAGGTCACCGTAACTCTTTGCTTGGTCCATTTATTGAAAAGCAACGCCGTGTTCTCGGAATACAAGCGCGCTTATTCGCCCGATTACGTGATTTTTATGCGCAGTACAGGATTCCCAGTGCAACACTGAGGAATCACAAGATTCAGTTGTTTTGTTCATTTCAATAGTAATTAATGGAAGAATATTTTCCCAAAATTAGGAAGCAGGCAAAGAGAATAAGGGAAACGTAAGCAAATTTTAATCTAGCCGACGAAGCTACGAGCAAAGTATGAAGTCTGAATTGGAGACTTTTGTATATAGAAATCCAACAACACTTAATATAAGACTAAAAGTGACTTAAACAGAAGGAAAAAAGGTTTTGTCAGTTGCTGGAAAAGGCTCGAGCAAAACTGTACTAACCAGCAAAAATTTACAAGGGACGACGAGCGATTCAACTTCCCTAGTTCTCAATCATGTTTTAGGGCTGTTAAATCGGGCAAGGTTTCGTCAATTTAAAAAACCGATAAATTACAGTGAAATTCATTTTCAATTTTACTAAACTCCTCCTCTTGAAGTTCTTTCCTTAAGGTTTCGTATATTTCAAACGCTTTTAGTATTTTCTGTAAAATTTACGATATTTCAAAGCTAAAATTGCCACAAGTTTCAACTTTTCGAGTTTCAAGCTTCGAATTTTGATTAGTTTATGTGTTGTCAGGCACACGATTTGATTGGCTATCAGGAAACACTATCCTCCAGTGCGTGTATTAAGAAATAGATAAGTTATTAATAAACAACATTTAACTTCTTCTGTAATGTTCTAGGAGAGATATGTTTATATAATATATATAGGGTACTTTTCCCCGCGTTTAAATTCTCTCATTTAAAGACTCGGCAAGCTGGGAAATTTCTCGAAATTTACGCTGCGTGTCGGGTTTGCATAACTTTCTCAAATTCTCTCAACCTCCTTTCATGTTTAGATGAGCGTATGTAAACACGGGGAAAACGTTCTCTATTGGTTAAGCAATAATCGGCTCCCAACGAAGTTGTCCAGGCATATCTGCTCACTTCGAAGAAAAATTATATACTACAGTACAGCTCCACTTCGACACAGCAAACTTTTTCACAGCCAAATAATTCTAACCTTAGGCCATTTTGTCCTCATTTAATATATGGAGAATAATACATGGGTGCCCGTTGATTTGGAATTTCTCCTCGAGTGTTCAACTCGCTATCTCATGAGAATATAAACTGTTATAATCTCTTGGTATCGAGTTGAACACGAGAAGAGAAGCTCCATGACTGCAAGCAACCATGTATTATTTTGTTTATCATATAGACACAATAGGCCTTCACTGAGAAGAAAAGCCTACTTTTCCATAAAATGAAAATTGAGGTTTCACGATCCCCGAAAAAAAAATCGTAAAGCGCGTCCGTGATAAAGCTCAAGATGAAAAAATGCGTCGAACCATTACAGAAACAGATGATGGGCGTAACTTTCTTTTCACAAAATTCTCAGTTGTTGACTTTTTCCTTATCGACAAAAGAAATATTTTCATGTACACGGCCAAAATCGGCCTGTGGCAAATCTCCCAGTTGTCGATTTTCGTTATCAGCCGCAAGAAATATCATTACTTAGGTCAAGTACGTAACTTTCGGTTTTTGTTTTCGTATTTTGTTTTACTTCCGCCTCTAGGAATTTTGAACGACACTGTCTGTTACGAATACGATTTTTTCTGTGCTTTAAGCAGCCATTAATCCGATAAAATCTCGACAAGCGACCCTGGATCGAGAACGGTCAACGCTTTGCCATTCATTTATTAACCTGACACAGCTGATTGGCGATATCAAACACATGTAAAAAATTATCGTCATATTAAGCGCGTGCTGTTACGAATTTTCTTAGGGCGGGAAATCCTTCTAAAACACCGCAGTTTGTATGATGATTTTTTTTCCTTAAGCTTTCTTATAAAGAAAAATATATAAAACATCGCGTTAACCGAAATTCAACTTTTTAGCCGATCCGTGCCATAATTACAGAAACCTGAGCGATGCTGACAGAAAGAGCACTTACAACACACCCCACGGTACAGAAAAATGTGACGACGAATCCTCATCCTTAATATTTGGGGAATGGTATCGTTTTGTGGGAGATGCAGGAACAAAAATGCCAACCCAGTGCGTACCGGATAATAGATGTGGTGCGGTCTTCTCAGGCTGGCTGAGAGGTGGTCACCCCACACTGGCAGATGGTGAGGTTTCTTCAGAGGTCTGCTTTACCAGAGGTGGAGATTGTTGCAAGAAATCAAACAACATTAAAGTGAAAGACTGCGGATCCTACTTTATTTACAAACTGCAAAAGCCAACTATTTGTCCTCTGCGCTACTGTGGCACAGACTAAATGCTATAAGCAAGTTATTCTGCAAAGTGAAAGGATTCACAAATCGATTTATTGGCACGCACATGTACATCAATGATAACAGGGACTTAAAGAATTTCACATGATCCACTTTTTACGATTAGTGTTAAACAGTGAGTAGTTTCAACACAAGAGTACCTTTGGACTGCTTAGTTTGATCGTCCAAGTAAGAGTACTCCTGAGAAGTTGTGACAGCAAGTAGTCAGTAATAGTGACTGACGTTTCTATAACCTCAGCGGAAATCATCATCAGAGTCGACTGAACAATAGTTGTTTATCCGAGTATTAGAACAGACTCCCCCCCCCCCCCCTCCCGTCCCCCCAGCTAATGTCAACAACTATGGGCATTAGTAAGCTTCCAAATAATCATAATATCTCTATCTATTCCAATCGAAGTGCTTCACTATGTAAGTTTTAAGCACTCTTGATGTTTACTCAGGTCGTTAGAAACTAAAGCAGCTTAGGTGTGTTGTTGATAGAGACTGTAAATAATTTCTAGAATTGCATAATTGTTAGTCACTGTTACATTGATACTCAAACTTTCTGATGACGTAGTATGGAAAACTAGAACATTCTATTAGGCTATGTAATTATGATGTATTTCTACCACAATAGTTGTGTTGTAAGCTTCGAATTCCGGAATGTTTTGAAGTACTGACTGTAAATATATGAAAATCATGTATGCGCACTGTGGTGAAGAAACAAATATAAGAGATCCTCGCAGTTATGAACACTACTAAACTAGTACTTGAAATAAGACCTGAAAAAAATTCAGGCCCGTGCGGGATTTGAACCCATGACCTCTGCGATGCCGGCGCAGCGCTCTACCAACAACTGAGCCAACAGGCCAACTGGAAGCTGGTCATTATGTTGGATCTCTTATATTCGTTTCTTCACCACAGTGCACATATATGATTTTCATATATTTGCAGTCATTATTCACCACTTGGAAGGTTTATTCGGATCCAACATAATAATCAGTATCTAGTTGGCTTGATAGCTCAGTTGTTAGAGCGCTGCACCGGTATCGTAAAGATCATAGGTTCAAATCCCGTAAGGGCCTGATTTTTTTTCAGGTCTTATGTCAACTACTAGTTCAGTAGTGTTCATAGCTGAGAGGGTCGCTTA